CCCCTTTGCAACTCGATGTGGGCAAGATCTTCGAATAAGTTGCCTCTAAATCCAGCGAACATTGGGTATTCACAACTGCTCATGATGAAATCACGAACGCTCCTTTTGGTTTTAATTTCGTAAGCCTGGATCAATCTGTTAGATATCATTGGAGAAGCAAAACGATACACTGCGTCCGTAAATGTTGAACCCACGTCAAGATGTACGAGTCTACCACTAATGGTATCTGTGGGCATGCCTGCCGTATCGATAGAGTTTATACAACTCTCCAAATCGGCTTGAGCAATCAGATTATAGTATTTCCGCTGATATGTCTCATCGTCCCACTTTAAAAGAATTGACCTAGGTATTGGGCCCCATTTTTCCAGCAAGATCCCGACTAATTCAAATGTGAGCTCTTTACCTTCATTATTTTTCTTGTTCTTATATTGAAAGTTCCAAAGCGTGGTGATTTCTTCGAGTTCCCAAACTGGCATAAAATATTGAGTAAAACCTGGCCATTTAACAGCCTCATTGAATCTTTCATTCTTCGGCGATGTGAGTAGGATCTTATAGGCTGAATACCACGTCATAGTATGTGCATCAGAGAGGTAGAAGTTTTTATAATCATTCAATGCTCCGTCGAATTGTTGAATATTCCCTTTTAGCACTCGATCTTCCGGCGAGAATAGATAACAGGTATTTTCGTCACCTCTCCAGACTATTTTGGCTTTAGGATATTTGTAACGAATATAGAAGAGAATAAATAAGCCAAAGTACGTCTTTCCGATACCAGGTGTACCGGTAATCGTGCAACCAGTTTCGGCTGGGCCACCTTGTCCGCGATTCTTTTCAATTAATTCGAGTAACTGCAAATAACAGTTCCGTATGAGAAGTTTTGATCCATATTTTTCTCTCTCTCCCAGAAAAAACACGTCATCCGGTAAACACAGCATTCCTCCAAACTCATCCATCAGTTTGAACGGTAGTTGCACACCAGTGTCCGTTCCATTGTGGTATAGCATACCATCTGAGTCAGTAATCACACCTTTGTTAAGACAGATATAATTATTTTCAACCGTAGAATAAGGTTTCAGAGCATTTAATTCAGATTCCTCTATATCTTGTGGTAACGGGAAGACTATCTTTGCGTCAAGAAGTTTCTTCCAAAACTCAACAACTCTGGGTCTAACTGTGAGAAGTATACCATTGAAAAAAATAAAATGCAACGTAAGTCATTTCCACACTTTTTCTGTCACCAACATATAACGACTTCAGTTAATAGGAATATATTAGCATACCTCGAAGCTTTTGTCCTGTATAATGTAAAACAAATATGAGGCACAAGTTAAAAAAATGAAATGGCAGCGAGAAAAGCAGTGTAGGTTTGGTATATTCGATAACGGGAATGTGTTTTTGGGGCGGGTTTGACGATAAGCAGGAGGAAAGATTAAGTATGTGGTATTATATGATTATATAACATACGGGCAAACCATAGGAACGAGTAATAAATACTACGAAAATGACTGACTAGAAAGACGTCCGTTGAATAACACGCGAGGCGTACAAACGATAAACTATTTTATAATAGAACTTACTTTGGCTGTTCAAATCATTGACTAACGTTACAAGTCTTGTTGCAGGTCCATCAGGAAAGTTATAAGGCTCACTACGAAGCTTTTCTATAGTCCATTGGAGAAAGTCAAGGCCAGCAACTTCTTGTTGAAGAAGAGTTGAAAATACATTCTCGCGAAGGTTCAAGTTTTTTCCTCGTAAAAAAGTTACAAGTCGTTCCGTATCATATTCTTTTACTTCCTCAAACGAAGGATCAGTAGAAGTGCTTGCAGAAGACATGATTTATTAGTTTTTAAAAGTGATGTGACAAGTGTGCAATAGAAGTTGTACAAGTTCAGAAAAAGAAAAAATTTGCAGAAAAAAGGCATGATTTGGGAGTATATATAGGAAATTTATTGTCGCACAAATCACTCAGACGATCTTCATCGTGACTATGCACATACTGCGCTTAAAGCCTTTAAAGCCCAAATGTAACAATTTTTCAGATACTGTACATTTAAGAAGCCACATAGAGGAAAATGCTAGAGAGGCAAGTGAAATGTATGATGCTATCAAAGAGGGAGGGAGTACTCGGATCCTAGGCCATAAATGAGAGTCCTAGCATCATATTATTTCTTTGCTTTCTCACCTTTATGAAAAATGTCTATAGCTATTTTGTTTATACTTCTATTGTGATTAGCCTTTTACTATACTAAATTTCCGAAATAAATTATCCCACCAATATTTACAGTATTTTTGTCTATCTATATCTCTCCCAAATATACAAAATATTATTTCTCGAAAGAGAACTTCTCTGAGATTAAGAAGTTTCGAACCTATAGTAAAATTACGGAAGCATTAGCAACTGAGATAAAAAAAAAATAATACAATAACGATTTACACTTACCATCACGATTCATTTTCACATAATTCCATTCCGCCTCATACACGAGATATTTATTGCTTAATTTTTTCTGCGTTATCGCCAGTACGATACTGCACAAACTTTTAAGAATTCAGCACGTTATATAAGATAAATTTTTTGATGCACTGCGCCAGACTTTTGCTGTGCCGTCACATGCAAGACAGATAAAAGGGTTCACTAACTGTCTTGCCTTCTTTTTATATGACTTGTAGTCGTCTAAAAATCGAATTTGGAATAAATCTTCGGGGGAATTATGATAGCATCATGAAAAATCAGATCAACAGATTCGCTCAAAGACATAATAAAAGCCTTGATCGCTAACCATATGGGATCATACCTCTTGGATCAACAAAGGGTCTTTTTTTATTATTATTACGAATATCTGCAAGAAAGTTCGAGAATATTACGTATCTACAAGATGTTATGGTTAGTTTTTTCACACAGCAATCATCTCAGCAATACCCACAGCCATACTATGCGGAATATTATCATGTAAATATATTGTGCTTAATGCACCTTTGCTTTATTGATTGTAAATAAAAAATACATATCAGATCTTAGATCAGGATACAATGATACATGATAAAGTCTTATTACGTCTATTCTATCCTAAGTACCATCACCCTAACCTAATAGTCCGTTTCATTTGTTTGCATTCGTGGTTAGTAACGAGATCCTTGGAATGGTTAGTCCTGATGACAAAAAAAGTGCTAAATCTCATGTCGCACATTTCTACCCTTTAATCGCAAATAACAGACAGGTCGTTGCTTACTTTATAATTATTTATAATAACAAATAACAAATAAAAACTATGTGGGTGACTTTATTTAATAAGTAATATTATCATGTATATAACTGTAAGTTGCTATTAAACACTTGTTACGGATCATATTATTTGTGTCATGACAAAAAATCTTGTCTGATAATTTTAACCAGATAAGCCACAATCGCGAACCTAAATTTAATGCTTGAAGTGAAGCAAGTAAGACAATATTCTGTTCCATACCATTCATCATGTAATCCATAATTCCCATGTTTTCCATCACAAATAGGGCATGGTGAGCTCCACGGCTGAGGTAATGCAAAATTATAATTATCAATCCCTCTGAAACTATTTTGGAATTTCAAGTATGGGAAGTGTTCTAAGACAGATTTGATAATTAATTCTGGATCGGGTCTGACTTCAAAAGTTATAGGCCCTTTTTCTGGCTTCGAATTTATAACTTCTGATTCATGTACTTCTGTTGGTTACCATGGCTCATTTTCAGTCTGTTTTTTATATCTTTTGTGTAATTTGGAACGAATCTTATCTGTCAAAATACTTGGTAATCCAATTAATTTGGTATGCCAATCCAGATATTCGGCAGTTAGTATTTTATCAGACTCAGTCATTTTCCTTTTTATATGACTGCAAACAATTTAAATCCCTTTTTCTTCCTCAGGTCATCAATTCGAAAAAAAAGATTAAAAATTTTTTCAGATAGAAAGCTGTCTAATCATCTGGACTATGCAGTTATCTCAATTTCACGCTGTTCACATTTAATAAAGTAAGATCCGACTTTATACTCACCTTCTATTTCTTCATCATCATGACCTAATTTGCATAATGGGCAGATGTAATCCCTGCATGATGTCTTATCAGTAATCCCATAATAATCGAAATTTTCACAACTACATTCTCTATATAGATTAGGATATTGACCCAATACCTTGTTGCGAAAATAGGGTTGGTCATAAGTTGGCTTAGTCTTAGGAATTGGTGGATGAGATTGCGGTGCAGATAATACATTTGCCGATGTATTAACCTCAGTTGATTCCAAAGCCAGTGGAGCATTTATAATTCTTTCACTGGTTTCAGGATTTTTGTTTACATGATTTTGGCTGGGGCCCCTGGCTGAAATCTCAGTCATGTGACTTGATACTTCTTCCACATCACTGTTATCGTTATCATTATGCTTGGAGAAATTATCTATAATATCTTGAACTTTATCATTAGTCAACTCAGAAATAGAGTTTGCACTATATGTCGTAATATACTTAATATTATCTATGCCTACCTTTTCAAATAATTTATATATCTTTACAGCTTTCTGAGTTTTCCTTTGTAAGTTTTTATGGGAGATTTCTGGAAGACGCAAACTTGTCTTTTCAGATTGTTGCTTTCGCAATATGGATAGGTGTTCCAACATTTTATCATAAATTATTCCCTTTGCCTTTTTTTCGCCTATTTTGCCTTTTCCATCTTGTACAATCACATTAACCTGGGTTAAAAATTCTTTTCCATAATAATACCAGCGCAAAATCTCTTCCTAATTAGCACGAATTGCGCCATATTAAGCATCATCCGCTTTATCGAATAATTGCGTTAGAAAAAGCAATGAATCTGTAGATGAATTTTGATTGAGATTCTCAATTGAAATCACATCGCAAAGAATAGTTTTGTCACTCGATTAGGTATCATTCTTAATGTCATCAGCTATCAATTGTACGATATTTTTTATGCCTTTCTTCCTATGGCTATTTTGGCCAGCTGAAATTTTAGTCATGAGATTCGATACCTCTGGTATCTTTTCAGAAGTGGAGCACCCAGTGTCAGATTCTTAATCTTGGTTAAGAGATGCTTGCTCTGCTTTGCTAAGTTTCTTTCTATCGGCTTGGCGCTCCTTATTGCGTTGCTTTATTTCACTACTAACTATTTTCTTATGAACCTCAAGCAAGAAATTATCTATCTCTTTCTCCTCTAACGGTTTTTCATGATGGACTACATCCGAATTGAAGTTAGATGAGTTATTATTAGGGATAATATTTCCCTTTAAGTCATTTTGTACCTGATTCTGTTTTACTTTCGTGATACAATCTCTAAGCTCAGCATTCTCAGATTTTAACTCCTCGATTGTGATCCCAAGTTTGGCATTTTCAGCATCACGCTTGGCACCTTTCTCCATAACCTGCTTTAGAAGTTCAGTATTCCTGGCCTTAATCTCAGTTTTCTCAGCCTTAAGTTTGGCGTTCTTAACTTCAAGTTCAGTGATACGCTGTTTCAATAATCCAAGCTCAGATGACATGATTGATATATAACTAATACACTGTATATAAGCATTCAAAATAAAAAAAAATACATATTTTTGGCCGGGGCCCCCGGCTGAAATTTGCTAAGAAAATATTTTATTATTACATGCGAAAAATAAACACATAGCTCAGGACAGCCCAGGATACATTGTCTATATGATTACAGACTATAATCCCACCCTATTTTTTTGAATAATATCCCTCTATCTTAGCTCTCTTTCTATCCGATTTATCCTTCACACATGCCCTATCTTCCAACAAGCCAATAATTATACCTAAAACCTTCTTAACACCCTTACGTAATGTTTTATATTCTTCGGAATTCTCAATCAGAGTCTCTTCGACAAATTCGATGCTAAAGGGAGTCTTACTCGCCTGTAAAATTTCACCTGAAGAATAGAAGAGAAAATGCCAATCCTTGGCAGATGTCACAACCCCATACAAATAGTCAAAGTAGTCCTCATCACGCTTTCGTTTTCTCTTGTTCGTTTGAAATAAACTTTCTAATTACTTGATATTCTGAGCAAAGCCTTCCATTAGCTTTTGCTGGACCTTATCCTCTGTGATGCAGATAAGCTTATCAGATTCCTATAAGTTTATATTTTGCAGTAAGTTAATAGGTATATAGGAGAAGCGGTAAAAATCCAAGGAAGGCTTACTTTGATTGCATAATTGACCTGCCCACTACTTTCATCTCCAATTATTTCATACTCAGGCCTCATACTAAATTTCTTTTTCATGGCATCTTCTGCGATATGAAGGGTGGTATATAGTATAGTTGAAACGTATTCATTACGCATAGACTCCAAACTTGTTATTACTAACATTCCATAATTTTGAAGTTGTAATTTAATATCTGCCATACATAGTTCGAGATGCTTATTGTCGTCTGGGACTTTGTGGATTTGTGGTGTGAAAAGAGGTATAACTTCTGTCCCTTCAGAGACGAGGTCATATTTTGCCAATACTTCCTTCAAACTGCGGTATGACGAGAACGGCTTCAATTTTTTCTTCTTACATTCCTTAGCGAAGTTCACGAGAGCTGTTGCAGGTCCCAATTTCATTCCATAATGCTCATACTCTTCTTTAGTTATCTTGAAAAAGGTACGGCCATTTATTCTCTCCTTTTCAATTATATTATAATCTTCTAGTTCATGCTCTAAGTCCTCTTTCTTACGCAAGAAATCTATTAGCTCCTTCGTTTTATATTTTTAATTTTGTCTACCAACGAGACTGTCTTATTTTCAGCAACAGTAGTGGAGGTAGAAGCTGGTGTATAAGGTGTACTAGTTTCAGACATAGCGCTTTTATAGGGATATTAGGCTTAGACAAAAATAGTGTTACGTTCCAAAGTAAGATAAAATTTTATAGGAAGAGAATACTAGGCATTAATATAAGTTTTATGTAGTATAGACATCACATCAATACACGTAACCGCTTACTCATATATTGATAGGATAATAATACTTTATTTATGAAATAAAAAACGTTGCCGGTAATCAGCCTAAAATACATAAAAACTATTACATAGCATGATAATGAAATATAGATAAAAAATCCAATTACTGGGGGGTTTTGGGACGGGGTATATGAGAATGAAACCCTCTTCGATATGATCGATATTAAAATGCTTAGAAATTATATCATCTGATTTCAACTCTGTCGTCAGCTCTTTTGGATTATCAACACAAAGCTTAATCTCATCAGGAACCTGCTTATAAAGTGTTTCCATTTCTTTTTTAATGATGGATATGGCGTCTTTGACCAATGTTTGCCAGGCTATTTTGATTATGAGATTTCATCATCCGATTTATCGTGGAGTTTAAACCTGAAGTCAATAATATTGGCCATATTTCATTTTCTAAAATACAAGAGCTTATAGTGAGAAAACTCATCCCTATACATACACAACTTCTGGCATATACATACCTTATTTGCATTATTTTCTCTGAAAAAGTTTTTGGCGAAAAGTTGGCTGAACTTTCACATACCCTATATGCTTTATATCTTGCTGGGAAAAGAGCGCTAAGCTGAAGTTAAGGAGGTATAAGGCGTGATTAGTATTATCATCTAATGTCAAAAGCTCTTTAAAAGCACATGTAAATAGAATCTTCTTACCTTTTCACATGTACAGAGGGTGATCACGGGTTTTCGAACGATAAGTATTTTTGTTTTTTTTTCTTTGTTTACATTATCTACGCGTTTATTTCTAATTTTAGTATTTATTTAGC